AGAACAACACAGCCAAGTTCACCTCAAAGGGCCTCGATTTAAAGGACCTCGTGGTGCTATCAGGCGCACACACTATCGGCTTCGCTCGTTGCGTGACATTCAAGGTCCGCCTCTTCAACTACAAGGGCTCCGGCCAGCCCGACCCCGACATCAACGCAGCCATGCTCTCGGACTTGCAATCCATGTGCCCCAACAGAAACGACGGCACCAACGCCAATTTAGCCCCACTGGATGTGGTCACTGTTGACAGGTTCGACAATGAGTATTACACGAACTTGATTAGTGGCGTGGGGCTTTTGGAGTCGGACCATAGTCTTATGGCCGACAGCTACGCAGCTCATATGGTGAGACAATACAGTTATGATACGAATTTGTTCTATGATGACTTTGCTGAGTCGATGTTGAGGATGAGCTTGGTTGGGGTTTTGAGTGGGCGTGATGGGCAGATTCGAAAGAATTGTCATGTTGTTAATGTTGATGATGGGTATTGAAATGTGTTCTTAGTGAATGGAATGTGAGCCCATTTGAAATTAAGCTAGCTTTTGTTGAAGGATAATATACATAAAATGTTAGGAGTTGGAGTCTTTATTTAGGGAATTGTGTGAAATTATGTAGTTGGGTTTGTGAGATGTATCTTATATTTGAATGAGAAAATTAACTAAATAATTTAATAATATGAAGGGGCAATTTCTCATCTTTTTTTACTTGTTGTTCTTAGGAGTGGTCATATAATCCGATAACCTGACCAACTTGGACTATCTAACCTAAACTATAAAAGTTGAATTGGGTTAGATTTTGTTTTTGAATTTGAGTTGAATTTTTTTAAAACTAAAAACTTAGTTAGATTTAGTTGATATATCCTCAAATAGGATTAAGAATATCTAGTTTGTAACTATTGTTTGTATTGGTATTAATAATTAATGTAATATATATTACCCGTAAATTGTTATTTGAATGAATTTAGAAACCTAAACGGGTAGATTCAGATAAAGACTTGGGTTCTCGTAGGATCGATTTCTAGTTTGAATTCCCCAAATTTTAACCATTTGCATGCTTGAATTTAATGTCAAATAATGGTAATGGTTAGGTTTAGGGCATGGCTTCACTTTTGACTACGCCTTCGAGGCTCGCCATTCTTTGTTCAGCATTTGAGGATTCTATTGGCATGGTTAGGTTTAGGGCATGGCTCTGATACCATGTTAGGAATCACGACTCTCCACAATGGTATGATATTGTCCACTTTGAGCATAAGCTCTCATGGCTTTGCTTTGGGCTTCCCCAAAAGACCTCATACCAATGGAGATAGTATTCCTCACTTATAAACCCATGATCTTCCACTAAATTAACCAATGTGGGACACTCCCAATCCCAATAATCCTCAACAGTTACTACCTATACTAACAAGGTACACCTTTCTTTTAAGTGGCTCATTTATAGAAACTCCAAGTTATGTGTGCTTTACTTGGAGTAATTCTATGTTGGGTGATCTCTTGAAATTTTTCTTTAGAAGCATGTGAGTGAGGACAAAATTGGTAGGTGGGGATAGTCTTCACTCTTAGAAACGAGGAATAAGTAACGTGACAATGGGAATGTTGTGGCCATCGCTGTGTCAAATTCGAATTTCAAATCTTAATACCATGACTCCAACGATTAGAAGTCTTACACCTACTGATACTTCTTGTTCGTTCTTACACACTCACCACTATGAAGATGGTACATTATGATTAAGCAACCAACATCTTGATTATTCATTAGTAGGGAGTAAGAGGAGTAAAATTTAAAAATAGACGGTAATAGATCTTATTCTCAAAACAAATAAGTGAAAAACTACTTGAGATCTCATATTCATTGGTTAGAAGAACCAAACATCGGACAATATTTGCTGTTAAAAATGGTATCATAGCCAAACATCGGGCGATGTGTCAGCGAGCAGGCTGAGCCCCAAAGAGGGGTGGTCATGAGGCGATGTGCTAGCAAAGATGTTGGGCCCTGAAGGGGGTAAATTTGGTGGAGGTCCCACATCGATTGGAGAAGGGAACGAGTCAGACTCCTCACTGGGGGTGGACATGAGGCGATGTGCCAACAAAGACGCTGGCCTCGGATAGGATGAACTTGGTGGGAGTGTCACTGAGGATGTTGGTTCCAAAGGGGAAACAAGATAGTGAGATCCCATATTCTTGAAGGGAAGCCTAAAAGAGAAAATTCAAAGATAATAATACCTTTTAGCAGTAGAATTGAGCTGTTACAAACTAATTCAAGAAGAAAAGTAACCTATAAATGAAAAAGACCTTGAAGTTTTGTTTGCACAAAGCTAATTCACTACCCTTTGTTTGAGCTGTTGAGTATGATGTATATTTATATACGTTTATAAATCTGTGGTTAAGTGTTAAGGAACCCTTATATGCCCAATTATGTTATTGGATAATGTTATGTGCTCATGTTATAAGTATATAAGACTATGTATGGTTGTTCTATATTATTATCTAGGATTCCAATAAACATTGGGTTGAGTAGGTACTTATAGGGGCAGTTAGGGCGCAACTTTTATTTGTGAACTAGCCAAGAGAGGTTAGGATCTACTTGATACACAGAGTTCAATTGTCACCTATAAAGAATCCCAAGAGTCATAGAGACTATACCATTTAAGTAGCTAGAATTGTGTCTAATGGGGAGCCATGGCCTTATACTGTTCGGACTCGAGAAGGTTCCGAGTTCGCGGGCTTGATTAATAGTTGTGGAGACTTTGCAACAATGTGTGGGTTGACCATTTGTTTCTGGGCTTTCTTGTCGTAGTGGAGTAGAACAGGGTGGGATGCCTCCACAAGTGACGTTTCTGTCTTCATTTGTCTTTTACTCCTTGTCTCATCTCTCTGTTTAAAGTTGGAAGGAATTTCTCAGTTCGGAGATCTTGAATCATATTTTTACACTATAAATATTCAAATGTATGTTTTATTCACAACAACAAAAGGAATTGAAAAGCATAAGTGCTTAACGTTCTTCCATTCGAAAGATCTCTCTCCTCAACTTCTTTTTGCTTCATTTATTTATTTCGACATATTTAGATGGTGGGTCCTATCCAACACTTTTTATTATTGAATTTGTTCTAATTGATTCAAGGTACTACGAATTAGGATTTAATGAAGTCAAAAGATGGTGACTTTGATGTAGAGGATAGGATCAAGGCATACAGTCATCGGTATGATCTATAACATGAAAAAATTCATGTAAGTAAAGATGTCATATTTAAAGAAGGGAAGTAGGATTGGTACAACATTGGCGATAACAACCAAAATCTTATAAAGTTTACTACTCTAGAAAGAAGAGGAAGACGTGACAAACCTAGAAAGGGCACCGATAGCAACACCAACAAATCCACACATGTCATCATCGACAACACCAAAAAGCATGATAAATTCTCTAAAACGAAAGAGCTCAAGAGAGAGCACAAGAGGATCCATAATAGAGGGTAGACGAAGGAAATTTTGTTCTCTTGTTGAAATTTATAGCAGATACACTTGAAAAAAATTGGATCCTGAAAAGCTAGTGCTGCTCGTAGCTGAAGAGTCGGCGACTTACCATGAGACAGCAACTAAGATGAAATGGCATGGGGAGACCATGCAAAAAGAACTTGAAGCCATTAAGAAGAACAAGATGAGGGCACTCACTAATTTACCACTCGAGACAAGTCCATAGGTTTGAAGTGGGTGTTTAAGTTGAAGAAGAATAGTGAAGGAAATGTCATCCAGCATAAAGAAAAACTCGTGGCAAAGGGATACGCGCAGCGGCAAAGAGTTGACTTTGAGGAGGATTTCATTTCATCCATGAGTGTGTCGAGAAGAGACATATCGTTGTAGAGTTCATATGCACTAGAGAGCAACGTGCACATATTCTCACCAAGGCCTAGCAAGGGTTAAGTTTACAGAGATGCGAGAGTTGCTAGTATTGAAGAATCTCGAACAAAATCAAGTTGATGGGGGAGATTGGAAACCAATAAACTTGACTTAGTAAAAGAAGTTACCAACTTATGAGCAACTTTAAGAGAATTGTTAGCAGTTATCAAATTGTAGACCAAGCTTAGAAATTTACTCGAGAACAACAACAAAGAAAATTGAAAAATATAAGAGTTTAAGGTTATTCAGTTAAAAGGATCTCTCCCCTCAAATTGTTCTTTCTACTTCATTTATTTATTTCGGTATATTTGGATCGTAGGTCATATCCAACATTTTTTACTATTGAGCTTGCTCTCTTTAGTTTTATCTGATTTTTTTCAGTTGATTAATTCAAGGTACTACGAACTGGGACTCGACAACCCTCCGTATGCTGCCAAATTCCACGACTGTTTGTGGGGCTGAGGACGCCCAGGCATCAGGCTGCACCACCAGCTTCCATGTTTCTTAAGATGAATGATCATGACAATAACATACGAAGCTCTTTTTCTTCGGAACCACTTTGAGTTATAGAGAAGACCAAATAAACATAATTATGATAAATTTCTAAAGAATGAGTTCAAACAAACTTACTATCAAATATCTCTTCACCAATGGTTTGAACGAGAGACCTCTAAATCGCGACACGGTGGTAAAATTCTCATGAACACAAATAGTAAAATCACAACACGATGGTACAATCCTCATGAACATAGATAGGTGACTCGCATAGGGTCATGTTTCACAAAGATGATACAATTCGCATATTCATGCATATAGATACACAATCACTTCAAGACCTTAACGTCTAATCCAAAGTAATTATCACTCATACATATAGATAATTACTACAATTCTTACACACAAATAGATAATTATCTCGTACCCTAAAATAACTTTCATTCATATATATATAGACACACACACACGGTCGTCTCAAAGTTAACATGCGACCTCCGACCATTTTTACGTTACAATTGGATTTATATTTTATTTTATTTCAAATTGTGACATTACTACTTTGCCCTTCCTGCATTTCTTTTTCTTTTCCTTTCTTTTCCAATTTCTTTCTTTTTCTTTTTCTTTTTTTCTTTTTTTTTCCAGTTTCCTTTTTCTAATTTATCCTAATTTTATTTAAATTTGAATATTACGGTAATACTAAAAAGATTGAAAATTAGAAGAAGAAAAAAAAAGCATGAATTCCATTAAAAAGAAAATACAAAAAGATATAAAACAACTTATAAATTATCAAATATTTTTTTAAAAAAATTAGAATATAATAATATAATAATTAAAGTTTAAAATTTTGAGAAATGAGAAATAAAAAAATATTCACAAGAACACTTTTTTAAAAAAAAAACTTATAATTTTTTTAAAAAGTGAAATTAAATTAAAATTTTTTTAAAAATCCAAATAAATCAACTACCTTATGCACTCACCATCTAAGATACTATTATTTGATAATAATAATAAAATAATAATAATAATAAATGAAGATATTATTTTGAGGACCACACAAACTTTGGAACAAGATCCATCACTTTTTGCTTTCTTTTGATGAATAAGTTTTTTTAAAAAAATGTTATTAACGTCGTTTATGTTCGTATTAGTTGTTGTTGAAAAATTTAGGGTAACGTACCTAACCTTCTCGTAATAACAATGGTCAATTTTTGTTTTACGTCGAAGAACTGGTTTGTAGAATTAAAAAATATATATATGCACACCGACATCGTGCTTACTACACATGATCTGACGCTTAGTGTAGCAAGAGTTATTGGAATTAGAAAAAGCTTACTTTTTTTCGAGTTGAGAAAGAATATTCATATGACTCTATTCGAACTTTGAATGTTATTAAAAATAAGATGTTGATAGGTTCATAGTATCATTGTGTTGTGGTTCGGTCGTTGTCATCGTTCTCCACCATCATTGCAACAATTTTTTGTCGGAGAAGAGGAGTAGAAGTGATTGAGTACGATCACACGAAAAAGTAGTCCTGTTCAGTCAACCGTTCAATCCAACTTAGTCAATGATCAACCCAATTGTGGTCAACCCAGTCCACTTTAGCTTCAGCTCAGTTCCAAAATGTATGGTCCAACTTGATTCAAGCTCGGTTCACTACATTTCGAGTTGATTCCCTTCTATTTTAGCGGGTTCAAAGTACAAGAATAATCATCTCATAAAAAAAGTATATTTTTCTACCATATTTCGATTGTTGATACAATGTAACGACCCAGTACAATGATATATTGGTTTTTGTCCCGCAAGAAAGCGGTTCTTTGTAATTATGGTTACGAAGTTAGATGTGGATGTTGATCAAACGCTACAAAAAGGGAAAACCTTAATTTAGTACGATTTATACATGTGATTGTGTGTGTGGATAAGGGTGTTTCATTATTGAATTCAAAACATTATTATTACAATAATTTAGCTTGCCCTACACTTTAACTTTATAAACCATCACTTTTGGTTCTAGCTTAGCTAGTGTGGGCTTTTCAAAATTTAATCTTAGAAAATACTTTACCTCCATGTTTCAAAGTCAAAATTTATCTATTTTGTTAAATATATATATTAGTTTTGGATAAATTTTAAACTTCTAAGAGGTGTCTGAATGAATGGAGACCACGTCTAAAGGAGAGTGATCTTGAAGATAGGATGACCAAGAAAGACTTAAATGAATCAAAAGTATTATCTATATCAACTTAAGTATAGCTCAAATGGTATTAGAGTGGTACCTCTCCCAGTGAGATGTGATTTGGGGATGAACCAAGGCGAAAGCTAGTTGACATATGACATCTGAGTAAATGAAGAGTACATGAATGAACCGAAACCACATCTGAATAAGAGCGATCCTGAGGATGGGATGGTTAAAAAAAGCTTAAAAGAATTAAAAGTTACTACATATACCAACAACATGCACCTTCCTTTTTGGTGGCTTAATCGTAGGAACTTCATAGTTAAGCGTGACTTGCCTAGAACGTTTCAATGTTGGATGACCTCCTAAGAATTTTCCTAATATGCATGTAAGTGAGGACAAAATATGTTGGAAGGACTTGTGCTGGTCTGTGTGGATAGTCTTCGCTCTTAAAAGTGAAGAGTAAGTAACGTGATCATGTCGCAGGGGAATATCGGAGCCATTAGATGTCGATTCCGAATTCTAAATCCTGAGCATGAGTCATTGCATATCTCTTCTTTCTTCGAACTTAGGTTATAGAAGAAAGAATTGAGAAAAAAAGTATCAACAACACTAAATTATATCGTTCCAAATCACTTAATTACTACAAATATGATTTGAGTTGAGATCTATCTACTTTTCATGAGATAACACAATTAAAAAGGAAAATGAAGTTAATTCTAATCATATTTAATTATAACTTAAGAATTGAATGATCAACCTAATTCATGTTGTTTGATTCTCAATATAAGTTGTGGATTAGGCGTGATAGCTAGGTTCTTTAATGAACATTAATACGAGGATTAATCACAAAAAATCATTGTTCTTATGATATAATGAAATTACTTTTCATTAATACGAGGATTAATCACAAAAAAACATTGTTCTTATGATATAATGAAATTACAAAAGTCATCGTGAATGAATTTGAGTATATAAAATTATAGTTTAGAAAAAACCTAAAAATAATTAACAGTTTCTACCCATATACAATAGCTCAAGCTCACTGCAAGCAGATATTGTCTACTTTGACATGTTATGTACCGTAATCAATCTCATGATCTTAACACAATCCACCTCCCTTGGAAGTCCAGCGTCCTCGTTGACACACTACCAGGTGTCTAGCTCTGATACCATTTGCAACAGCACCCTCCACTAACAGATATTGTCTGCTTTGGTCCGTTACGTATCCTTATTCGTCTCACGGTTTTAAAATGCGTCTGTTAGAGAGAGGTTTCCACACCCTTATAAGGAATGTTTTTTTCTCCCTCTCCAAACGATGTAGGATCTTACACCCTACCAACATGGTGCAACATTTTTTTAGTAGCTCAATCATAGAAGCTTCAAAGTTAATCGTGTTTGGCTTGGAACAATTCTATATTAGATAACCTCTTCAAAATTTTCTTCCAAGTATATGAGTGAAAACAAAACATGCTAAAATAACTCGTAACATAGTCATGTCGTAGGAGAATGTTGGAGCCATCACGTGCCAAATCCATATTTCAAAACTCTGGTCTGAACCCTAGGCATAAGTCGTCACAATATGTTTTTGGTTTATATTTTTAGAGCTAGCAAGAAACAACAATGTTGGGTAGACTCGATTGATATGATAAGATAAATAGGGTGCAAACTGAAACGAGTAGGGGTTGAGTAGGGTTTTATTAGGGTTTTTGAAGACCGAAATTTGCCGAATTAGAAAAATAAAGTTTATTATAAGATGGGTAAATGATAATAAATGAAATTAAAAAGAATAAGGTAGAGATGCAACTACCCAAAGTTATGATAACTTGGATTGCAACATTTGAATGATAAAAGTTTTGTAGAAATCCCAATCTAACCCTAATAATCTCATCATTACAATCAATTTCCCAACACTATAAGAAACACCAATTTTTTTGTTTGTTACCACTTCCCACTCACCTTCCTACCCTTTTTTATTTTTAAATAAATAAATTATTATTAAAAAAAAAACATTTTCTATTATCTTCTTCAATCATTCAACATTCTTTTCCATAACTTTCCATTTCTTCTTATATTTCAATTTATTGAAAAAAATTGTCACTTTTTTTTGGAATTATTCATTGAGGCATCCCTTTTGAGTTTTTTTGTATTTTTTTTTTCTTTTTTTAACAAAAAATATTTTAGGTGATGCTCGATGGAGTATGTTCGTTCAGAGTTTTGAAAATTTTTTAGTGACCTAATTAAAAATTAGATGAAAGTTGATAACTAACTATTAAAATTACCTATAAATTATATAAAATGTATCTTAAAACCTTGTCCTAATAGGCAAGTTTTAAAGCCTCTGAAAGAAGCCAGAAGAAAAAATTCAAAGAGAACAATATCGGCTAGCGGTGGACTTACAAAAATTACTATAGGGTGGGTGTACATTTTTTTGATAAAAAGATTTAGTAGTATAAATTGATTTGTTGAAATATATTTAAAAAAGTTAATTGGTGGAAACTAGATCCAATCATGAGCAAACACGTGGACATTAAGTCAGGAACTACCAGCGTATTATTCTTAAATAAAACGGGCACCATGTGTAAAGATTGAAAAAGGAAAGGGTATCTCGTTTTATAAATAAAATAAAAAGAAAGGGTATCTGACACAATTTACAATTTACAATCTGTCCCAAAAAACTATTTTTATTGCCAAAATGCCCCACCAGCTCTTAAAAGGCTTATTTATTATTATCATTATTTTCTGTTAAGGAGCTTACCTTATTTTTAAGATTATTACGAAGATTAAGAATATTTGACCATTGTAATCGATGTTAGTGATCTATTGTGACTTGTAAATGTTTGATATTTGAGATTTATGAAATTTTAGTTATTAAAAAAATAACCTGACAACCCAACTCAACCCGAGAATAGAGTGTTGGGTTGGGTTGTTAACTCTATTCGAATTGCTTGGGTCACCAATCTAGCCAACCTGAAATTTCGGGTGGGTTAGTTTGGATAGAATTGGTTCATATTTTATTTAAGAAATACTCTTAAATTTTCAATTTTTTATTTATATTTTTAATTTAATAGAAAACTTTAAAAAATTCTCTAAATTTTCACTAAAGAATAAGTATTATTAATATTCTTAAATTTTTAGATTTTTTTTTCCCAACGACCAAAAGTGGTAAGTTATATAAACTTATCGTGAATTTGGAAAGAATAAATTTAAAATTAAATTGTCTATTTGAGTGTTAAAATTTATTATGGCTCATAAATGGGAAAGTTTCTCCTTTTTATTTAAAATTTTGATATTTAATAAAATATTAATAAAATTAAAAAGTCTAAAAAAACGAAATAAAGAAATTAACACTATATTAAAAAAGTAAAAAAAATAAATAAATGAAGAATTGTTGAGTCATGAGTAAATAAATGATTTTATCGTATCCTAATGATAAAAACATCATTAAAATAAATTTAAGGATACTAAGGTTCCTTTTGAGAATTCATATATATTTTTAGAACGTGTATTAATAGTTTCATATATATAATAACGGTAACCGTATTTTTAATTTTTTTAATAAAAAAAAAGTAAAGGTTACTTTTGAAGTTTAAAAAATTTAATAAAAATTTTAAAGTCCTATTTTTTTTTAAATAGTTTTAAAAATTTTAAAAATATTTTTTAGATAAAGTATTAATAATTTTTTTTTAAAAAAATTAAGTATATTTTAGAATGTTTAGCACAAAAATAGTAAATATTTTTTTTAATTATCAATTACTTTAATGTTTTTTATACTTTTATGCTTTAAAGAAACTAAAATTATAAATGCAAAAGAAAAAAATAACTAAAAAAACTATGAGAAAAAAAAAGGAGAGTAATATTTAAAAAAAGAAAAAGAATTAAGATTTTTTTTTTTTTTTGGCGAAGGTAAATTATTAACCTCCGAGACAGGACCTCGATGGTTCAGGAAATCTCCGAGACAGTACCTTGATGGGAGCTGACAATAAATTAGTGGAATTGGTCCTCACTAGTGATATCGTATGATAATGTGCAATGGGTAATTGTACATTATCATACGATATCACTAGTATGTACTAACATCATATTCACGTACGACACATTTTACGAAAACATGTCTAACCCAACCTTAAAGTCGTCTATTAAGAGACCTACTTACCTTAAAAGCAACTACAAGACAAACTTGTCTTCTTCAATAAAGGTTCTCTCTCAACCCAAGAGTGATTAAAAGAGGTCAACTAAAAGGTTTGTCACCAAACACGAACCCTAAACCTTCGACATTAAGTTCAAATTTACACAAAACAAAATTAGCTAAAACCCAAATCACATAATTTAATAAAAGGCAAGAAGCTCGGGAACCAAAAATTGAATTAAGTGCTTGTTGATTTGACTTTGAATATGTTCGAAACAACAAATTTAATGTCTAAAGTTTATGGGTCACTCTCGAAACCACAAGAACATTACGAATCCTTGATTGAAAACATACCCACCTTACATAATAAGCAAAATTGTAGCGGCCTAAAAAAAAAAACATTGATGAACACTATGCTCACGAGTACCACAACTTCTACAAGTAATTGGAGCATCTTTGTTAATTTGTCAAACTCAGACTCAGAATTGTTGGATGATGAAAGTCCCACGTCGGCTAATTTAGGGAATGATCAGGAATACTCTCTCAATTGGTACGAAGCCTTTTGGGGAAGCCCAAAGCAAAGCCACGAGAGCATATGCTCAAAGTGGACAATATCATACCATTGTGGAGAGTCGTGTTCGTCTAACATGGTATCAGAGTCATGCCCTAAACTTAGTCGGGCCAAGAGATTGGTAAATCCTCAAATGTCGAACAAAGGACTCCTTTTGTGGAGAGTCGTGTTCGTCTAACATGATATCAGAGTCATGCCTTAAACTTAGTCGTGCCAATAGCTTGGGACTCATTTTGTGGAGAGTCGTGTTCGTCTAACATGGTATCAGAGCCATGTCCTAAACTTAGTCGTGCAAATAGATTAAGACTCATTTTGTGGAGAATCGTGTTCGTCTAACATGGTATCAGAGCCATGCCCTAAACTTAGTCGAGCCAATAGATTGGTAAATCCTCAAATGTGGAACAAAGGACTCCAAAAGAAAAAGAGTCTAGGTTGCTCGAAGACAGCAAAAAATGACTAAGACTCAAAATTTTCTAAATTAATTAACTTAATCAAACTCAAATTAATCTCTAATAATTTTAAATTTACAAAAACATTATTATTTTCAAACAAACTATCTAAAAAAAGAAGAAAAAAACTAATAATCATTAGGTAAATAATTTTTTAAAAATAGTATAATTTTTTTCGAAACCTAATTAGTTTAAAACACAATAAAGAATAATGAAAAATTACTTTTTTAAGGGGTAAAAAAAAAAGAAAAGAAAAAAAAAGGATAAAAATTGATTAGAGATGAGAAGTGGGTTACTTTTAGAATGCCCATTTACGCCATGATTAGTAAAGACTAGAAAAGGCAATTCCTTTCACCCAAACAAACCAACAAACTTCATTGAAATTACAGTTTTACCAAAAGGGAAGAAGAAGAGAGAGAAAAAGGGGAAAGGGAAAATGGAAAACGCCATGGCTGAAGCTCTCAGATCTTGAAGCTTTGAGGCCTAAAAAGCAAAGCAAAGGGGTCAGCCTGGTCTTCCATTCGCCACTCACAAAAAGCACCCATTGCTGCTGCTACCTTTACCTGGGGAACAGACCAGCAGGGTCATTTTCGTCTTTTTCTTCTTTTAGAGAGAGAAAATGATGAGAGAGAGATTACCAAACTCCCATTGCCATTGTTGAGTTGTATCTTCTTGTGGGTTTGCCAATTTCAGGGACTCGAATTATTTCTGTTTCTCTCTTTTTATCTCCCCTTCTTTTCCTCCATTTTTCCTTACCTTCTTCTTCTTCTTCTTCTTCCCTCCTTGTTAGTATCAAGAACAGAGAAGGCTGGAGAAATTTCTCTGAACAATTTCATAATGCCGCCATTTTAGCACCTTCCAACTGGGTTTTGTGCTTTGATTCTCTTTTACAGGAAACTTTTGTCATTTCATCTTACGCCGCCGCCGCCATGTCCGCCATGTCCGCCATGTCCACCAAATCTAAGTAAGTCTTCTCCACCAATTTGATGTGGGTTTTGTTTTGCTGTTTTTGAGTGATCGATCGCCTTTTCTGGGTGTAATTTTGATCCCCATTTCTTAATTCTTCATGGGTCTTCTGTTTATGGCGGTTGCTAGGGCTTATTTGATTCTCTGTTTTGAACCGATGCTATTTCTTTCTCTGCGTTCTGGGTTCTCTGTTTTTTAGACGCTGTTGCACTATGTCCTGTTTCTGGATTTCTTTGTGTTTTAACGTTTTGTAGTTGATTCTACCGTGGTTTCTTCGAGATCTCATTCTCTCTCGATTAGATCTACTTGGAAGAGTGTTTAGGCTGTTTTTTTTTGTTTCCAGAGCTGGTGTTTCTGCTGCGTTTTCTTGTTTAAATTACCATTTCTGCTTGATTTCTGATTGGAATTGTTCTTGAGGATGCTGAATTTTTCTGGAATTCAGCTTTCCGTGGATGTTCTTTAGAAATTTCAGATGGGTTTCTGTGGATTCTTTGGTTTCTGCTCCATTTCTGTGCAGTTTTGATTAGTGCATTTTGAATGTTCTTGATAGATCTTCACCTGAAACTCCCAACAAGACATCCCCTGCAACACCTAGGGTGAGCAGACTGAATAAAGGGGTAGCTAAACCAGAGTCTGATTCTCATTCTCCTTTGCAAAAGTCTCGTCTCTCGGTCGATCGGTCTCCTCGACCTGCAACTTCGAAGCCTGCAGTCGATCGTCAACTGCCGAAAGTCGGTACCCCACCTGATGTAAGTTCTAGTTTAACATCAGAATTGCCAATGTTGTTGTGTTGAAAGTGAATTCATGAATGCTAATTGTGATATCGTTCTGTTCTTATTCAGAAAGCACTGCCTCGAGGTACAAAGATTTCAGAGATACAAACTCAATTAAATGATGCACAGGAGAATCTGAAGAAGGCAAAGGAACAAATAGATTTGGTTGAAAAAGAGAAAGAAAAGTTGAGCAATGAATTGAAAGATGCTCAAAGAGCAGCAGATGAGGCAAGCGAGAAACTCAGAGACGCGTTGATGGCACGAAAGCAAGCTGAAGAGAGTTCCGAGATTGAAAAGTTCCGAGCTGTTGAGATCGAGCAAGTAGGACTCGAGGAAGCTCAGAAGAAAGACGAGGAATGGAAGAAAGAGATAGAAGCTGTAAGGAGCCAACAGGCATTGGATGTTGCTGCTCTTCTCTCTACTAGTCAAGAGCTTCAAAAAGTGAAGATGGAGTTAGCGATGACTACCGACGCCAAGAACCAAGCATTGAGCCATGCTGATGATGCGACGAAGATCGCTGAGATTCATGTCGAGAAGGTCGAGATTCTCTCAGCTGAGCTTGCGAGATTAAAAGGATTGTTAGACTCAAAGCTTGAATCACAGGCAAATGAGAGTGGGGAATTGATAATGAAGCTTAAGTCAGATATAGCATCTCTGAATTTGGAGCTTGAGAAAGCTAAATCTATTGCTGAGAGAGTGAAGGACAAAGAGATCTCCATCGAGCGACTTAATCACGAACTAAACATCGCAAAGATCGCAAAAACATCCTATGAGGAGATGATCACGGAGAAAGAAGCGTCCATTGAACAGCTTAATGTCGATCTCGAAGCTGCAAAGATAGCTGAAACGTACACGCACGGTTTAGTCGAAGAATGGAAGAACAGAGCTGAGGAGCTAGAAACACAATTGGAGAATGCTAATAAGCTAGAACGAGCAGCATCGGAGTCTCTACAATCGATGATGAAACAACTCGAGCAAAATAACGATCTACTGCATAACGCGGAGATCGAGATTGCTGCTCTAAAAGAGAAAGTTGGTTTGCTGGAAACGACAGTTAAAAGACAAAAAGAGGATCTAGAAAAATTAGAACACGATCTTCATGTAAGTAAGGAAGAAGCATCTGAAATGGAGAAGTTGACTGTGTCATTAACTTCACAATTGGAAACTCTCAAGGAAGAGAAAACTCAAGCTTTAAACAATGAGAAACTTGTAGCTTCCAATGTACAAAGCTTGTTAGAAGAGAAAACCCGACTCTTAAACGAGCTAGAAACGTCCAAGGACGAGGAAGAGAAGAGCAAAAAGGCGATGGAGAGCTTAGCGTCGGCATTGCATGAAATCTCCTCCGAGGCCAGGGAAACAAAGGAGAAACTGTTGTCTAGTCGAGCCGAGCAAGAAAACTACGAGTCCGAGATAGAGAATCTAAAGATAGTGTTGAAAGCTACCAACGAGAAACATGAAAACACGCTTGAAAGTTTGAACCATGAGATCGATATCTTAACGAGTACGATTGAGAAATCGAAGAACGAGCACGAGAAATCCAAGGCTGAGTGGGAAAAGAAGGAGCTTGAGCTGGTGGAAGCTGTGAAGAAATCAGAAGCAGAGAACTCTTCATTGGAGAAGGAAATAGATAGGCTTGTGAATTTGCTTAAACAAACAGAGGACAATGCTTGTAAGATGAAGGAAGAAGAAGCTCAGCTCAAGGATAGCTTGAAGGAAGTCGAAGCCGAGGTTATTTATTTGCAGGAATCGCTCGGGGAAGCGAAATCCGAAAGCATGAAACTCAAGGAAAGCTTATTTGACAAAGAAAACGAGCTGCAAAGCATTCATCAAGAGAATGAGGAGCTTCTAGCAAGGGAAGCTGCTTCTCTTAGAAAGATTGAGGAGCTATCCAAGTTGCTCGAGGAAGCTTCAACCAAAAAGAACGATGAGCCGACGGATAGCGAGAAGGATTACAATTTGCTACCGAAAGTGGTCGAGTACACCGAAGAGAACGGCAAACGAGATGACGATAACCCGAAAGTGGAGCTCTCAGTACCCATTGTAGAAGAAGAACACAAATTTGAGTTTCCATTGGTAGAGAATGAAAAAACAGACTCACCACCAACAACACCACCACCTCGAAATGGAGACGAGAAAAACGAGAAGGAAGACAAGTCGGTGAAGGTCGAATACAAAATGTGGTTCTCACAAGAGGGAGGAGAAGCAGAACACAAATCCATGGACAAGGAGGAGGACAACGACTCGAAAGTCGAGAGCAAGGAGAGTTTCGATCAGACGACGAACGGTGTAAGCACGGAGAGCGTAGAGGAGGGGGGAAACTCGCCGTTAAAGCAGCAGCAGCAGCAACAGAAGAAGAAGAAGGCATTGTTTAAGAAAATTGGATATCTTCTGAAGAAGAAGAACAATGTGAATCAGAAACAGTGATGATATATATATATATATATATAGTAGTGTGGGAAGTATATGGATAGTAATATATGGTTATATATAATGATTTGCTCTGGTTTTTCTTTTGTTCTTGTTCTTCCAGTGCTGGGCAGATTGTTGTATGTTGTTGGGATATTTGTTTTGTTCTTTGTTCTTTGTTCTTTGTTTAATGGCTGCCTTCATATCACTACTACTTCAACTTGTATTATTATTCATTCTTTTGTTTGTTTATTATGCAAATCCGAACTGCTCTGTAAATTTTTTTTTTTTATTGTTTATGAAATCAAACACTTTGTTTTCCCTTATTGTTTTTGTAAGATTCCTTAAGCAATACGTGGAAATCTCTCCCTAATAGACGCGTTTTGAAATTCTTGAAAGAAAAACGTTTAAAAGAACAATATCTACTAGGTTCCCTAACAGACACGTTTTGAAATTCTCGAAAACGGAAAGAACAATATCTACTAGGCTCTCTAACGGACATGTTATGAACATCTTGTGGATAGCGATGGACTTAACAATTAAACATTTCTTATATTATAAACCTATCCCATCCAATTTCTTTTCTCTATATAATAAATAATTATTGAAACATGAAAATTAATGATAGATTTATTGACATAAGACCCACCCACTAACAAAATATATATATGCATTTTTTTTTTTTTGAGAATTATTGAAAGTGAAATTAGGATAATAAATTTTGGTTAGAGCACCTAGTAAACTAAAAATTTGGTTGATAATAAATTTAGATTCCGAATCCTCAACCTGAGTCCATCTGAATGATGCCAATCTTGAAACTAGGATGACTAAAAAGTTCCTATTTATACCACTAAAGTACATTTTACTCGTTGAATATGTTTTACTCCGAGCAATTTTATGCTAGGTCTCTTAGGAATTTTGCTAGAATGCATGTGAGTAAGGACAAAATATATTCAAAGTACTAATATTGCATGTAGGGATAGTCTTCACTTCTAGTAAATAGTAAGCAATATGACCATGTCACAAAGGATATAGGAGAACGTCTGGCATCAAACATCTAAACATCTAATCTAGATGCCAAATCTTGACCCAAAATTTGAGCATAGATGGTTAAAAGAAAAAAAAAAAAAAAAAAAAAAAAATTTAA